CCCCCCCCCCCCCCCCCCACCCACCCCCACCACACACACTGGTTCCTGGGACTCTGGGCCTTTGCCGTCCTGATCTTGAGAGATGTCCTGACCAAGCCAGAGAGAAGATCCAGATGACATCGCCACCCCTACCAGCTCCAGGTGAATCCCAAATAACTCCTGAGATGAAGCAGTAACAGCTCCAGCTTCAGCCCACCTCTCTTCCCTGAAGGAAAGTTATTATCATTGTTGATACCATTTAAGAGACTGTCAAACAAGGGGGTTAAAAGGATTTTTAATGATGTGTTTGCCTTGGGACTAAGCAGGCCGAGATCTCTGTACCAAACCTTGCACCTTATTTAACACTGTTTAATGTTGGACAGTGACTGGGTTATGTTAACACTTTGGCCCATTTATTTCAACTAAATTAATACCTGGCCACAAAATTTGCACACATCTTGGGTGTGCAGCTTTGCACACCTTTTTTGGGTGCAGCTGAAAGCGCAGTTTTGGGCATGCAGTTGGCATTTGCAGGAGCAAATTGGATAATAAGGTTGCACTGATGTGCATCTGAACTTACTTTATGACCCGTTAATAGTATATAGGCATCTAATCTATCCTTGGGCCTGCATGTGTAGCCTGTGTCTTTTGAATACAAAAGTAAAACGACGCTTCCTTCGGGCCCTCAGCCCCCTCCCTCTAAATAAATAAAGGCCAGGCTGTTGGAATATAACTCCCCTTCCCCTTTCCTAAAAAGCCAGAGCAAGGAGTCGGGCCTAAAGATCAACAAACTCTGGCTGTGTCAGACCTCAAAGATAACCGATTCCAGAGCCAAGGACCCTCCATTGAGCAGGTCACATCCCTAGTTTCATACGTTCACATATTGGGACTCTTAGCTGGAGGGCTGATCTCTGCTGCGATAGCAGTACAGGCTGAGAGGCAGTCTACCAGCCAAGCCTTAAGCCGGGGTCGGCAACCTGGGTGCCGAGTCTTCATTTATTCACTCTGATTTAAGGTTTCGCGTACCTGTCATACATTTTAACTTTTTTAGAAGGTCTCTTTCTAGAAGTCTATAATATATAACTAAACTATTGTTGCATGTAAAGTAAATAAGGTTTTTAAAATGTTTAAGAAGTTTCATTTAAAATTAAATTAAAATACAGAGCTCCCCCCTCCCTGCCCGGACCTGTGGCCAGGACCCGGGCAATGTGAGTGCCACTGAAAATCAGCTTGCGTGCCATAGGTTGCCTACCCCTGCCTTAAGTCGTAAGGTTCAAGGCTTGATCCAGACTCCCTTTGAAACCAGATAAGGCTCAGATAGGGGAAGATGTAGCAGTATCAAGTAGCGTCATTAGATACTGACCTTTGTCGTGTGATGGGAGTAACATTTATTTTACTGTTAACGGTATCACTTGACTGTGGCCAGGATCTGCCCCTCACCTGCAATCTTGGGATCTACCCTCTTGTTACACCTGTCCCATTGGTCCAGTCTCTGCCAAACAGTGGGAGAGTTGGTGGCTGGCTCCAATGAGAGAGAGAGAGAGAGAGCTAAACGTTGTCATAAGACGCTAGCACAGTGTGTGTTGTGTGCCCTCTGGTGGCTGCTCCACTGCAGGATAATAGCCTACTACTGCTACCCCCTAATGAAATTATCCCCTTTTATCAAATGATAGAGTCCTGTGTTGTGGTACAGATGGGCCTGGTTTCCACCCATGCAAGGGAGTTGTTTCATGAGCATTTTGAGAACACATGCTATTCTATATTAATAGTGCCTTTTTCATGAATAAGTGTCCTTTCCCCCACTTACCTCATTAAGGCTCTAATAACTGCTAGCACATTTTTGGCATATAAAGTTGGCAAGAGTCAAGAATTAAAAAAAAAAAAACCTGTCTGAACCATTTCAGCCTGGACAATAAAGGCTTTTTCTTTCTCTTTCTTTCTTTTGAAAGCTAAGGGGGGGGGGGGGACTCTAAACGCTGTTGTGTAACTTCCCCAAGTGGGATAATTAACTTTCTTTACAATACGGAGAAATTAAAAAGCCTATATTTTTTTCCCAGCAGTGTTTTCTGCGATGCAACACAACAGCAAGCCCAATCCTCCATCTTAATGGGGAATGAGCTAGCACGTACTTTATGCAGGCCACATAACTAGGTTCCATTGCTGCAGCAGGGCACTAGGATTCTCCATTCAGTTGCTGATGGTTCATTGTTGTCTTCTCAAATTTCTGAGTCAGCAAAAAGCAATGCGGGGAAAACATGAGAATATCTTCGCGTCAACCATTTCCCTTCTTTCCCAGTGCCAGCGGCCACGCAAGAAGCCTGGGCAGGCAGCCGAAGAGTAACTGAAATACCTTGTTCTGGTCACAGGAGAAGGCGGACGGGGCTGAATGCTGATGGCCTTGCTTCGTGCAATACTCCCGTTGGTTTCTAGGACACTGCTGCTGGAGCAAAGACTTGTGGGATTCAGAATGGGGCAGCAGAGGCCTTGAAATAACATGGCCAGACTGATGCTCCCAGTGCTAGAGAGGGCTTCAGTCCTGCTCTAATCACTTGTGGCAATCCTGATTTTAACGCGTTGGAATAGGGAAGTTTATAGTGTTAGTCATTGGCAGGGTTGATCCAACCAGGAAGCCTGCAGCACCGAAGTAATAGGAACAGGCCATGGAGCGGGCATGTTCAAAATGAACTGACTTGCTGGAGCGGATTGGGACTCACCCTTGTGGCGCCTCCTGCTGGTGTCCTGGGAATTAGCTCTTGTTCCAGCCTTGGAGCGCCCTCTGCAGGCCGGTGTCCCACTGCCGCTGGGCCCCCGTGTCCCTCCCTGGACTCCGGTGCCCCGTTATCTGGGGTGCTGCCCCCGGGCAGTAACCCCTCACTCTCGGGGTCTCCCCTCCCCAGGAAACCCCCACCTCCTATCCCCACCTCGCCGCAGTCGTAGGCTACTGCCAATCACCAACTAGCCCCTGCTCCCTGGGGCAGACTGCAATATTAGCCACTCATCACAGGCAAGGTTGGGTTTGGACCTGCTGCTTCTGCCTAGCCTTGGGCTGTCCCCTGCTACCCCAGTACCTGTTTGGCCTTATACTAGGCCGCAGCCTGGGGGGGTTTCCAGGCCGGAGCTCCCCAGCTCCCGTAGCCTTTGCCCAGCCCTGCTCCACTCCAGGTACCTTCTCTGGCTCCCCAGCAGCCAGGCCTGTCTCCCTCTACAGCTAGAGGAGACTGTCTGTCTGCTCCTGGCTTCCCTGGCCTTTATAGGGCCCGCTGAGTCTGTTTGGGGTGTGGTCACAGCTGAGGCTGCCTCCCAAACAGCCCAGTCTAAGACTCCCAGCCCCAGCCCTCTCCAAGGGCTGGCTTTTAACCCTTTCTGGCCGGGAGCGGGTGACCACCCCGCTACACTTGCTTTCTCCAAGCAAGTCCCTGGGCAGGGGCAGAACCTATTCAGTTGGACAGTTCTTCAAGGCAGGGACCTCGGCCTCCATTCACTGTTGCTCTGTGACTTGTCTGCACCAGCACAGATGACACAAAAAAGTTGCAAAGCAGTCACTCGGGCCCCCACTGGGAACTACAAGAGACCCTCGACAGGAGTCTCAAAGCTGGCAATGCCCTTCCCTTCCTTCCCTCACCTTCAAGAGGCATTCAGGGGTGGGAAGATAGCAAGAATGGGGTCAGGGTGGCTGGGGTGTTGTCAGACTCTGGTGATTATGTGCCACTGCAATGTTCCATCAGGGCGGTGCAAGCTGCCTTCCCCATCTCTGGACTGGTGGGGCCGGCGCAGGCTGCGTTCACGTGGTTATCTGCACAATGCCATATGCCATTAAGAACTGTGTAAACAACCATAGCAATTCCTCACAGGAGGCCCAGGTCAGCCCATGTAATGGCATGGAAGCCAGTGGAGTTCCACTGGGCATGAATTTAGGCTTGTGCGTTTTAGTATTTCTTCCATTCACGGTTGGTGGTCTCAAAAACTGTGGGTTAAGAGCTCCCCAAACCCCTCACAGAACAGTGGCGCTTTTGCTGCCCTCTGCCCCTTCTGAACAATGTAGGTATTGCACAGTCAGGAGGCCTCTCTTGATCTACTCTACCTACAGGAGAGCCTCAGAGTTACAGACACCTCGGGAATGGGGGTTGTTCGTAACACTCAAATGCTCGTAACTCTGAACAAAACCTTATGGTGGTTCTTTCAAAAGTTTACAACCGAACACTGCCTTAGTACAGCTTTGAAACGTTACTATGCAGAAGAAAAATGCTGCTTTCCCTTTAATTTTAGTAGTTTCCGTTTAACACAGCACTGACCTGTATTTGCTGCTTTTTTTTTCCGTCTCTGCTGCTGCCTGATTGCGTACTTCCAGTTCCAAACGAGGTGTGTGGTTGACCGGTCAGCTCGTAACTCTGAGGTGCTACCGTATAACCAGAATGGGGTTGCAACAACAAACATGTCCAAGATTGGGCTGTGAGGTGTTCACCTTTTCCACGTAGGACACCAATGAATGAGATTTCTCTACATCGCAGGGGGCACTG